GCCCGGAGAAAAGATGGAAATGGGAGAGGAACTGGAGGAGAAGAAGGGGCAGAGGGAACCTAATTCCATCCTCTATGACGACTTTGGTATAAAAGGGCATCTCATCCTCGGCCCCGAGGGTACGGGAATGCAAAGTCGGATCATAATCCTTTATGTCTACATATGGGGGGATGTTATACTTTTTCCTAAACCTATAAATTTGCTCGCCCCCCCTTCACTTTATACTTCCCTGGCCTCGAAGAACTGGCCTGAGGATCCTCGGGGGCAGGGCGACGACGGGGCATCTCCAAAAGGTGATAAAAAGTGAAGAATGAGGGGGTTTTTTCCACGAAGATCCCCAAGGAAGCTTCCCGAGGATTGGTCGCTGAGTGGCAACCAGAAATGCCTCCAGTTATCGAAAAATCAAAAGGAACAAAAAAAGAGAAGAAGAGAAGAGACGGAGGGCGAAGAAAGGGAAGATACTAGGACTCACCAGAACGTAAAAGGAAGTTTTTTTCTTGAAACTTGAAGCGACTCCTTCCTCCAGAATGTTCAGAAGCAAGGATGAGTCTGTTGGCCTTAAGACTCCGGTGAAAGATTGGACAGTAGACAACGAGAGGGGAGGGATCTCCGGCGAGGTTTCAGGCAATGGCTCTCTGAAGGAATCCGAAATGGCAAAGTGAGAGAGGGAGAGAGGAAACCCATTTATATAGTACTCATTCCCATCATTTGGGCACGAAGCACGAAGGAACGCATTTAATGCGCACGACCTCCGAAGCAGGGAAAAGCGGTTGAAGGCAATGATGAAGTAGTTGGGGTAGTTGCAGAACCCTTTGTCTCCTTACGACGCGTGTCCTCGGTGTCAGGAGATCGAAGGCTGGGGGGCAGTTGATGGGACATTTCCAAGTACCTCAACATGAAAACACGTGTCCTCGGCATCAGTAAATTTTTGTTACTATAATCACGACACGTACCCGTCGAATCACAAGTCCCTGTTCCTCCGAGGTACTGTTCATAGGGATCAATGACACCGAGTACGTTACGTACCGACATGTATCCCCTCGGTCGGATATGGTACATCGGTCCCTACATGTACCACACTACCTTTGGTACCGAGATGTACCCCCATCCAGGATGCGTTCTCTGCTCCTGCAGAGGCTATTGATGTACAGGTCACTAGCCTAGGCTAGACTGGGTTAGTCATCATGACCTCATCTTACACAATTGGTGTTAGAAGACACAAAAAGGCAGAGCACACAGCCAATGGGGAATGGATGCGTGACATATTGTGTCACATCAAAGACAAAAAGACCGGATGCCCTTGCTGACACACGACTTGAGAAAACAAGCATTTAATTACACAATTCCCTTGATGAGACAGCATTTAATGCAGTAAGGCTCGGAAGTGAAGGGTAATAAATGTTCCTAAGACTGGACATTTATTATATCCTTGCCGAGAGGAGCTCATTAAATAGTCAGCAGGCCGATGACACAGCCTTGGTTGCTTGGGATCCCGAGCAGTTAAAAGAGAAGACATTCCTCATAAGAATCAGTGCGCATGTTGCCCGTATCTAATGATCACCTACTGATCACACTGACAGCAATCATGAGTTTTTGAGGTATAAATACTCCTCACAAAAGGCAAGATGGTATGCAACGAAAAACCTTTTCTCAAACTTATACTCAGTGTTTTCTTTTTCCCCTCTCTCAAAAACTAACTTGATCGTCGGAGGGGATACGCCGAAAAATACTCCGGCATCCTTCTAACTTGTCTTTCTCTGTTCCAGGAACCTTTCTCAGCCTTACTGGACCGCTCCCTTGATCCACAAAAGTCACCCATTACCGTTCCAGACCACCAACGGATCTCAGCCTGTTCCAAATAGCAAAGTTGACCACTTGATTGACTGACTCGAGTTCACCACGGGAGAAATCTGTTCTCGTGTTTATATTGTGCAAGATCTTGCACGCACAACTAGCTATAGCTACCATGCACCAGCTACACTTTGCTACCACTGAAGTTCATCACCACCAGATCTATTAGAACTACATTTTTCTGGGAATTGAACTTTGAGATCAGGTACACTTTGCATGTTTATAGTTCAAAAGTGACAAAGATAGTGATAAGATTTAAATAGATCTATCACTAGTTAGTCTGGGTAAATATGGTACGGTGGGACGAAGGCCAAAAGAAAAAGACAGCCACTGGAGCCGGAAAATATGCTCCCCAGTGACCATCTTTCCCACTTGAGAATAAGAAAAAAAAAAAAAAAAAGCATCTGCCTGTTGTGGTTGTAGTCTTTAGTTGTTTCTCAGCTTATTGTTATTTTGTTAGCATACTTTATTAGCTTATTGCCAAAACCCTAGTATGGTCTATCCCTAAGTAAACTGCACCAGCAAATAAAAAAAAAAAGATATAGATTATAGATGAGCAATGCAATTGAGATTTAATTTATTGACCTAATTCACTATGACATTTGGATTGACTGTAAGACCCATCAAACATTAGAAATTAATGTTGATCTAATAGTTCTATTAAAATTACATCATTATATTAATATATTAAATCAAAATTTTAAATCTAAATATTATTACCGATTGTTGATCGTTTATCTGGGCCAAAAACCGCTAATATAATGAGACCAAATTCGAAAAGAGTTAGATTTGAAATAAATTTATTGTATATATAAAGTTGAAAGGCATGTACCATGACGTAAAGCGCCTACAATCTATGACTGCCAGTCATAGTCTTTACTCCCAGCCTTTTAATTTGTATTAGGATTTGTCTTGAGTATGTACCAAATCAAATCTGCATGAGGGTTTGAAGAACTAATTAAGAGCTAAAATAGACTTCTAAGCGATTCAAAAAATAGTTCAAATGATAATAAAAATAAATTTTAAATTTAAATAATTTATATTTGAATTTTGATAATCCTTTAAACTTAAGTCATGAGAAATTTATTTTTTATAAATATTCTATTTCCACCGTAAATAGTTTGTTTTTGATTAAATTAAAAAAAATTAAAGTATGCCTAAATTAATAAAAACATTTCTAGTAGTTGAAGGAAAAAAAATTGACTTTCATGGTTTTGTGACATAACCTTGATGCCTATAGCCCAACTTTCGATTCATCTTTACTTGGGAAACAAAATTCTAGTGAAATTAATCTAGGGTTTATTTTTTTAGCAGGATAATGATAGAAAATACAAGAAAGATAAAATTTAAAAAAATTTCATGTTTTTGGTTAACATGAAATAAAAAATGATGAAAAAAATAATTTTCTTCTATGCTTAGATTTTCTCATAACTAACTAATTTTTTTTTTCTTGTAAAAAATACAAAGAAATAGAAGAAAGTTGTGATCTTTAATTAACTTCCAATGTTATCCTTATTTTTCTTAAAATATTTAATTGATTATTAATTTTAAAAATTCTTAGTATGAATTTGATTAACCGTATAATTTAATTTTGAGAACTTGGTGCTGACATTTGTCCTAGAATTACGTTACGAGCCACTTTTTTAAAATTTTAAAATTTTAATTATAATAAATATTTTTTACTTATTTAAATCGATTTAATATACTTAAGGGTAATTTAGACAATAAAAAAAAATTCTTGTAACTTTCTTTTCTTTTAAATAATAGATTAAATTTTTTTTAAAACTTTCTTACAATTTTTTCATGCTAATCAAATACACACACATAAATATATTTTCTTTCATTTTATTTTTTTTTATTTCACTTTCTATCATTTTCACTTTCTTTCATTATTTTCTTCTTAACCAAACAGACTCTAAAATAACAAGTTAAAAAAAAAAGAATAGTGTGAGTACATTCAAAAGCCATTAGGCATTGGAAACTTCATAATTTTATTTTTTTTAGTTTTTCTTTTAGAATTTTTTTGAATGATGGGACTAATGATTCCTCGATTTTATAACCATTTATTTCAGAAGTAATATGCTGCCAGAAATTTTATGACATTGTGGCCAAGAATCTTCTGAAGCTCAAAGACTTTCTTTGAAACATTACTTGGAATATACAGTTCTTAAGATCCTCTCCCCCAACCCCCTCACATCCCCCCCCCCCCCCCCAAAAAAAAAAAAAAAGTAAAAAGAAAGACATCTATGTCTACACATTATTATACTTACCGTACATTATGAATGCATTGTAACTGCATGGCTAAATAAGTTGAGACCACTTAGCCTATAAGAAAAAAGTGTAGCAATCCCTTGGTTGATGAGTTTGATCAGGCCATACTCGTCGATATCGGCCGGTGTGAGTCCACCAACAGTCCAGGCAGTTTTATAGATTGTTATGTTTGAAAATACAGTAGTAGAGGCTTCTTCCAATCTCATTCTGGACCTTATTTATTGTCAAGTTAGATCTCAAAGGATAGTTTAAGTAGTAACACAGATAAAATGTAAATCCAAACGTCATGATTTTGAATTTTAGCAACTCTTTGAAGTCAAATCACGAGTGATTTATTTCTCATGAATACTCTAGTTTTAGTGTAAATGATCTACTTTTGATAGACTGAAGAAAAGAACAATCAAAATACATATAAACTGGTCCGAACATCCTTCACCGTTCAACCAAAAACAAAAGATCTCCCTCTTCCCCTTCTCACTACAAGGTGCTCTTTAATTTAAAAACAACAAATGCGAGCCGAAGCAATCAAAGTGATGAGTAAAGTTGAGGTTTCAAGGGCCGGTGTAATTTTCCAGATCTCATTTTCCATGATGTTTGTGTCTCACCACACACACCCCCCAAAGATAAATTAAAAAAAGAGGTAATCACATGAGACTTACCCAAGGTGATGATTGCCCCAGATGAGGTTATCCAGCTTTAGTGTGCAGTTGTAACAAGAAGAAATTAAAATGGTTCATGGTTCATGTACTCCAAGAAAACAAAATGCTCTGAACTCTGAGCTTATGTTTGTATAACATTTTGATCAAGTATATGTAGATAGTCAGGACCTGTATATGACATATAAATCAGAGAGACTGGAGAGACTCATGTCACTCATCTCATACTCTTTCCTTTATAGGCGAAGAGTCCTCCGGTTTTGCACATTCAGAAACCAAATTGACAAGAAAGTCGAAGACATCAGTGGCCACAACAGCAGAAGCGACATCTTCTTTGTGAAGTGTCCTCCTCTTGCCTTTCATGGTCATCATCCAAGACCTCCTTGTGAGTTCCTCTATGAACAGCTCGCAAGCCTTGGAAAAGACTATGGGGGCCTCACCAGATATCATCTTTACCTCGTCGCTCGATTTCTTCATGATCTTCTTGATCCTTGCCAATGGTAATGAGTGAGGCCCGGTTTTCCCAGAAACCCCTCCTGAAAGTATCCCTGAATATGTCCCAGGTTGCCTCATTTTTGTTATTCTTGCTGATAATGATATGAATATGACTATGTAGGTTTGTGTGTGTGTGAGAGAGAGAGAGAGAGATGTTAAAGAAATGTGATAGGAGAGAGAGTTAAGTGATTGGTGGGATGAAATACAATGCTGAGAAGAGTTGGGAGTCATATATAATGTGAAGAAAATAGGGTAAGGGAGGCCGGCCAGCCTGCCCGGCCGACTAAAGGCAATTTCTTCATTTTTTTTGTGGTTTATGCTAAAAAAGATTCCTTAGTGCCGCAGCCCTAAAAAAGAAAACTTCAAGCTCTCTCTCTCTCCAATATATAAGGATCCTAAAAACGAACCAATAGAAAGCTTCTTACGTGTGGGGCTTACGTACATGACAGTGCATATAGGTGCACATGCATTAGTACAAATTTACGAATAATCCTAAATAACTTCAAATTAACCTCGGCCAAATATGTCCCGAGGGTTGTTTGTTTGAAGTATTAGAGTGGTACAAATGAGTGATATTAGAGAAATAGTATGTAGGGGTCCATCTTATATTTTATTTGTTTGACATTTTTATAATTGGTACTATTTTTCGGGTCGTAATACCGACCTGACATGAACAGTGACTTAAATGTCATGTATACGGTGCTATTGAATATCACCTATTAGGTGGTATTATCTTCCTGATACAAATGAAAAGACGATATAAGAGACTAAAATGACACAAATGCTCTCATGTACAATTATCTTTTTAAGATTATAAGGTTATAATTGTCTTTTTACCACCCATAGTTGCAATTGTTGACTTTTTTAAGTAGTTATTACACAGATAATGTTTGTGACAAACAAACAAGAGAAATAATGAGATTATAGTTTAAGATCGGACATAATATACCATTAGATAAGAGTGAAATGAAAATGATTTTTAATACCACCCAAATCTAATACTCAAAACAAACAGCTCCTAAGGGCCTGTTTGTTTGAGGTATAAGATTTAGATGGTATAATATTTTATATCCATTTCACTCCGATCTAATGGTATATTATACTTGGTCTTAAACTATAATTCAATCCTTTCCCTTGTTTGTTTGTCACAAACATTATATGTGTAATGCCTACTTAAAAAAGTCAAAAATTGCAACTGGCTTTTATATGGAGCATTGTGCATGAGGGCTAATTGCAGTCGGTCTTAAACTCATGTCACTCATCCCATACTCTTTCCTTTATAGTCTTTTTACTCTATTATACCTCTATGAAATTTATTATCACATCGGGTCAGTATTATGACCCAAAAATTAATACCAAGTAAAAAATGCCAAACAAACAAGGTATAAGATAGGCTCCACGTACTATTTTCTTTATACCACCTTTATACCTCAAACAAACAGGCCCTAATTGATTGGACTGTCGTTGATCCTGCGAGGTGTTCTCGGAGAGAACATTATTTTGTTTCAAAGGTACGAAGGTATATAATTACATAAATCAACGGATTTTTGGTTCAATTGTATTCTTTATTTTATGAAAATTCTGTCTTCTTGAGGTCAAGGGTTCAAATCCCTCTCCCATTTCTCCTCCCCCCCAAAAAATATATATATATATATATATATATATATATATATATATAGTTACATAAAATGTATGGCATATATCAAGCTATAAGCAAAAACTTCTATAATTTACGATCAATTTTAATTATTCCATAATTTAAAATTCTTTCAATGTATTTTTATCGATTTCTCTCAATAATAGATAAATCATCATGAATATACAAGTGAAAATAGGGGTACAACGCGAGCGGGTTGAGAGGTCAACCCTAATTCAACTCTAAGTATATAATCTTCAACTCTAATCCTAATCTTAACCCTATCTCAACCCGAAGTACTCAACTCCAGTACTGCCTAAGTTTAATTTGGGCGGGCTCGAATTGAATTCAGGTTACTTAATTTGAGCTAATTTCAAGTTAAAAAGCAGGTTGTGCTTAAGTTACTTAATTCAGGTTGATTTTTTGAAGTATAGATTTGAATTTTTGAACTGTAAATCTAATTTTTTTCAAGTGATCTGAGATGAAGGGCAAGATGTAGATAAAGAGAGAGGGAGACTGAGAGTCTAAGACGACTCATACGAGTAACGATTGAGAGAGGGATCTAAGAGTGATAGAGGTGCAACGGTGAAAACTTGAAGTGAAATGAAAGTCTGGACTTTAAAAAGTGAAAATAAATACTAATGCTAGTTAAATATATTTATATATATATAGGTTCAACCCGATTTTAATATTCGGGTTGAACCCGACAACCCAAGGCATTAACATGAGGCTTGCCTAAATTTAATTCGAGTTGAGAGTTTTTTGTCCAGGCCCAATCCAAGTATTAAAAATTCTAACCCAAATGCTATTTTTTTCGGGTTAGACTTTGGATTGGTCCTCCCAAATTACACCCTTAAGTGAGACTCAAAATATAAAAAAGGGATGAGAAAAAGTACATCAGGAGAGATCTAAATTTATATTTACGAGTAAAACAAAGGCTCTCAATCCTATTTCATTTACAAAATTATATAACCAAGCAAGCAACCGGGGTGATACAATCATAAAATTGTCATCTTTTCCATGGTGTGATCTCAACTATTAGACCATGTATTTGAATAATCTCAAAGGGAAAGCATACTTTAGTGGCATGCCAAGTTCAAACCCACCAATTAATAATACTTGGGTTAGTTAATACACTAATCATTGAGGGGGATTCGGGCTATGATTCTTAATTTACGGATTTAATGATGTGGTTTTAATGTAATCATTGAATTAGTTGTGAGTTCTAATGTTAGATGAAACCTATAACCAATTCAATAATTGTACATTATTAGATTCCTAAATAAGATTCAAATAATATTTCCTATTTTTGTTTGGTTTAATAGGCTGATAGGTTGGGATTTGGTCTCATTTGCAAAAATATAAAATAATTATGTCAATTTCTTGGTGACATCATAGAGTTTGGTTGGGATTTGGTCCAAAGCTTATTGCTAAATAATCAAGGTCAAATTTAATTTAGTTGGTTAAGAAATATTCCACGCATAGTTATGTCTATATACAACCAATAATCAGTGACGATCATTAACAGCAGTATTTTCTTTATTAATTTAACCATAAATAAATAAGAAAATAACACACAGGCTCTAGAGTCTAGACATTTCACATAGTCTTTGCTCATTGAAAATGAAATTTGGATTAATCTATTTCTCATGTCTATTAGAGCTCACGCATGTGTGATGCATTGTAAGTAAAGAAGGTTTAGGGTTCATGATCATATGAATCATGGATCTTAGCAATTTTTGATCAAGATGGTTAAAGCTCTCTCTCTCTCTCTCTCTCTCTCTCTCTATATATATATATATATACATATATAAATTTCCAGGAACATCACTATTTCAAAACTATAAAATTTTGACATTTCAAGTTCATAATTTTATTTCAAGTTATACGTTACATCACCGGGTTACATAAATAATCTTTCCAAATGTGGCAAGACAATATTCATCCAATATGTAGCGAGTCTTAGTTTCTAAGGAAGTTTTATGGTATTGAAAAACACTTTTTACATACTATACCTTCACTTTTCAATCAATAGAAATGTGTCACGTCTATTTATTTTTGTTATTTTATAATTTTTTTAATCAATAATTATAGATTATCTAATATAAAGTTGATGGCCATCCTTCCCAGTGATTCTTTCTTTTTCTTTTTTTATGAAAATTAACCACCCTAGACCTAAAAAAGAAAGTGAAAACAAAGTCAGCTCTCCAAGGCACACTTACGCAAGGCAAATCAATGCACCGGCCCACAGCCAGTGAGCTATCTCTATGCAACGAGCAGGCCTAACACAATTTTACCAAGGCCTGCAATGTTTTTAAAACTTTCACTGCTACGCTTGTGCTCACAAATTACCCATCACAAGCCCGAATCCTAATTTTTTACATGGGCTAGGGCCATCTGTCGTCATCTCTACACCGACCCACATAAAGGGACATGGGTTGGCCCCACCTATAATATGCCCATCTTTCTTAGCCTGATTGGGGCATCGGTGGATCTTGGGAAATTCCTAAGGCCTGTGGGCTAACCCAAATTTATATCTTTCTAGAATTCGTTTTTGGTTAAATTTTATTTATTTTTTTTAATTTAAATTTTTGAAATGGTCCAGTATGGTCTTTGCCATACCATGTGGCAAAAAATGGGTGATGCCAGGTCTGCAACCTAGCCATTCCATGGAGCAGGACATGGCCTTAATCAACCTGGTGCGGTTCGAAATTTGGCACCTGGACTGTGTTGGGCCCGATCCATGGATAAGCCCACGGATGAGTTTACTTATCATGCCAACCAGCGGTAATAAATTAGTGGGTTGAGTTGGTTCACATATTAAATGAGTATAGTAAAATACACACACTAGTACACTAAAAATATATGCCATATATTTTGGTGTACAAGTTAGTGTCCAGGGGTCTAGGTCGAGGTCTAAGGGTTTGGGTCGGGTCTGAAATGTGTGTGTGTGTGTGTTTGTTTTGGTGTACTAGTGTAAGTATGTATGTATGTATGTTATGGTATACTAGTGTGTGTATGTTTTAATGTACTATTGTGTGATTGTGTATTTTTTTGTGTATTAATAAATATGTGTGTAGTTTGGATGTACTAGTATGTTTATGTGTGCATTAGATTTTATTATTTTTATTATTTAATAAAAAGATAAATATTCAACTGATATTCATTTATAATTTATCTTAACCACCTTATTTAAAATAAATATTATTACTCAACTCTTTTAAAACCCGTATTAATTAAAATAAGTACCAACCCATTTATTTATAGTTGAATTGAACAGGTTAGTTGATAATGGATTAAGATTGTCACATTTAATATTTGAACTCTAATTTTAGTCTTTCTTTTTTGTTAGGGTAACATTACTGTTAGAATATTAAGTTTGTGCTCCGGTGAAGGACCCAAATATATATTAAAGGAAAAATTTCAGTCACACTTCTTCAAGTTTAGCACGTATTTAAAGACACCCCTCTATTATTCAAAAATATTACTGACACTGCTTCTTATTTATATTTAAACAACACACATACCCTTTGTTGTTAAACGTCGTTTCTCACCAAAAAAAATTCATTGAAAATGCTGAAATTGCCCCTACATAAACTCCAAACAAATTTTCTACATAAAATTTAATTAAAATTCCAGTAGATTAAAATTTATTTTTCTACGTATTAAATTTTGATTCTATCTAATTAAATTTTATTTCTTTTATGTATTAAAATTTGAGCCTATTAAAATTCTTTTTTTATGTATTAAATTTTGAACTGATTTAAGCTCTATTTGAACTGTTAGCGCCAATTAAAATTTGGTTCAAGTCGATTAAAATTTAAATTTTTTTACTTATTAAAATTTGTGTCATTTATAATGCGATTAAAATTTATTTTTTACATATTACAATTTGAATCTATAAAAATTTATATTTTTTATGTATCAAAATTTGGGTCGATTAAAATTCAATGTGACTTAATTAAAATTTGATTGGGGTCAAATTTTAATATTTAAAAAAATATAATTTTTAATCAACTTGAATTTTAATACATAAAAAAATTTAGAAAATAGAAGAGATCTCATTGAAGATTTGTTTATCTAAAAGGGTGTGGATGAAGTTTTTCTTAAAATATATTATAGGCAATTTAGTAAAATTACATTCTAGTTCATGCCTTTAATTTGACATGGGATATCAGTGAAGATTTAAAAAATAGAAAGAGTGTCCTTAAAAATATGATAAATTAGAAAGAATTTTCCAATATTAGATTATTAATTTTGTCAAATTCACTTTTCTACCTCACCACACGGCCACGACCATACCAAATTCCAACAATCAACCATCCAATGCGAACACAAATCACCAAATCAAGTGCAAATTTGCTGAAATCATCAACTCCAATTTAAATCACAAAATGTTTCAATTTTGCAAAAGAAATCGAAACCCAGTTCATACAGCTGTGGATGGATGATGGATGATTGTTGGAATTTAGAGAGATAGAGAGAGAGAAACGTCTTTAATGAATTCCTAAGTGTTTAACTATCTAAGCCAGAATGTGATTCTCATGAAAGGAGAAACTAAGGTGTGTATTGTTGAATAAGGAACCAATAATTCTATGTTATTAAGATATGATCACACCGACACTTTCTTCTACAATTGTTTTTTTAAAAGATTTGGATCTACAAGTATTAATAAATTATGTTGGATGACAAGATGAAGCAAGAGTTTCAGTTTTTTCTCTTATTTTTTAGTTGCAAGATATACTTTTTATACCAAATTAAATTTTAAAAGGGAAAGACTACCGTATCATCGACAGTATTGTATTGAAAATTATAACTTTTTAAAGTTAAGTTATTATTTTTTTGAGGTGTAAGTCATAACTTTTAAAGGGAATGATTGATTAAGAAGAATTGAGATCGATACCGAAAATTCATGATTGATCATAGTTTTCCTTTGAATAATCGTAACTTTTCTTTTCAAATGTATAATTTTATCATAAAAAATTATAACCGACGAGTTTGTACCCATCTTTTTTTCTCTTACCATAGACTTTCCCTCTTAAAAAGGCAAAGAAAAATAATTCATTGGTACGCAGATATGATTGGATATTCTTGTTACTTCCCTAAATCATGGGTTGTGGGGGGCTATGCTTGGTTGACTTTGCAACGTGAATCATTTTCACTATTTATAATCTGACTGCACATGGATTCATGTTTTGCATTTATTAAAGATTTGAACTATTTAACTAACGCAATTCTCTTCTTTTATCTAATCTTAAAATAGACTATGTGACACAAAGATATTAGGCACAATATGTCTAGAGTTATGGGACTATGCCTATAGAAAACAAACTCAACTTGCCCGGACCTATGCAACTCTTTGACTTCTTTGTGAAATTTTCATTTTACGAAAATGGTAAATTTTTTTTAGAAAGATCTAATCTTATATCAACACAATTTATATTTATATTTACTTTTGTACCCTAGAAAAACATACAGTCTTTTATTTTAGCTAATTAAACGTTGTTTTTTACATAGCTGAATATTGATTTATAATGTAAGAGAACAATATGAGAAAATAAAATAACCATCTAAAAAATAATAACCAGGGGTGGCAAAGATGACTATATATGTTTGACATCATTCAAATGTCCAAAAGATTCACTAATCTTTTTGTCCCTTATTATTTATTTCTTAGAAGTCAGCAATGATCTCATGTAGAAAGACATCACAGTCAGACTTTGTCCACAGGTGGTGCATGTCTTTTGGAATCCCATGCTCAACATATACCTCTTTTATTATAGGAAAAAATAGCAAAAAAGCTAATATATTTTGTATATCCAAGCACAATTATAATTTTTATCTCTCTCTCTATATATATTTTCTTACGAAGTTAGATATTAATCTCAATCACCAAAATCAACTAGTAACACTTGATCTCATCGGAACTCCGCAGCTAAGTGTGTTTAGGCGAGAGTATAGTATTAGAATGGTCCATCTTTTGAGAAATCCTCCTATTACATCTCTTTGAAAAAAACCCACCACAAGCCCGGTTTAGGTGACTTCAAGTGGTCTCGAGAAAAACCTCACTCTCTAACAACTCCAAGGGGTAACTCAAATAGTAACAAAGACGAGTTATAAATTCAAATGTCCTGAGTTTAAATCTTAACAATTTTTTGAGGTTAAGTCATGAGTGATTTATCTTTCATTAATACTTTAGTTTCGACGTGAATAACCTACCTTTGACCGGACTAGAAAGGGAATTAGTTGATATATGCGTGAGTTGATTCGAATATCCCTGACCGTTGAACCAAACAAAAAAAAAACAGGAAACTCCAAGACCAAAAAAAAGTACTAAACTGAAAAATGAAACATTCGATGTAATCGAGAAACACAGATATAACAAGAAGTAACTATTGTGATATGTTAATACAAGTAAACTTTTCAAATGAATGGACTTCTACAGTGGTTTGCACTGTTTGTACAAAACTATTATCAATTCAATGACACTTATCAATTTTACAGTTTGTGCTTGATCAATCCATATACAGTCACAAGAGCCATAATTAGCGAATGATCTGTTTGGGCTTCCACCATTAAATAAATACATCATCACCCAAAAGAACACCAGAAGATGATTGTTTTTCTTTCACCTGCACATACCCCAAATCACAACAACTGTTAATGTTATGTGCTTATATTTAAGATTGAAAGTTAAACCTAATCCAAAGGAGCCAACTGAATTTATTTTTTATGGCTATAAATTCTGTTTGCTACTCTGAAAGTAATGCTACAAAGAAGTAATTCTACCCTAAATTTTTTTTTATAACCCAGGAACCGCCACCAACCAAGCTCATTTGGATCCGTGGTCAGCAGTCAATCTGAACCCACGTGCAAGAGATAAATTTAAGAGAGATGGTCCCAATGAGTATTTTCACCTCTACAGTATCAAACCCTTGATGAATGACAACTTAAGGTATGTATCAAGTGGCCGACTACCACTTGAGCTAACCCGGGTTAATTCGATGTTGGAATTAAGACTAACCTCAGCAATAATTGCTCCATGGCCGTCTATAATCTTGAATGCTGCTTTTCCAGCCAAACCGACTATCCGGTAGCATCTTGAATTAGCCTTGTCAGGCTCCAAAATAACATGAAAAGTCATTTCTTTGCTGAAAATCTTGCAATATTTCCCAACTTGAAACCATGGTCTCTCCATCATTTTGGAATCACTCCATTTGTAGCCAGCCCAACCTCCAAACATGTGAAGTTTCTGCCAGATAAATTGAAACAAACAAACAGACAAATATAAGTTTTAATGATTTCTAAGCGCACATATATATTTAGCTAAGTGATCATCTACCTTAATTTTGTTACCTTTTGTCGTATAGAAAAGAGAACTTTGCCTCGGAGATTCATGAGATGAACTTCGTTGCTGCATTTTTCACCATAGCTATCGATGCGATAGACGAGTTCACCCTTGGAATCAAAGACAGTGCAGCCATTTCCATTGAAAATTAGTGATTTCATCCATACAGTGAATGTCTCTCTTTTTGAGGTCAAGTAACTATATGAACAAGTGGGTGTCTGAGGATAAACTTTAGCCATTGAATGCCTGTAACTGAAAATACAGAAAGTTCTAGTTTGTAGATGGAGAACTCTCACATACCAAAGAGTCCATAAATACATGGCTTGAGAGTTCAAGTATGTTAAAATATAGCAGGCCATCAACAAAACTTTGATTTCTTGTAGTGTATAATTGGTGTGGTTGGATGTAGAAGGGGGATTGATTAGCACATGGAAATTGGTCAAATGAGATTTATTCGTATTCAAGGAATAGAATATATGTTTTTGTACTCATTGTTTGAACTTTGAATACCTTGTACAATTGCTTTTGATTTAGCAGAAGCAACCCATTTTTGGACTTTATCTTTTGACTACTTCAGTATAACCTTCCACTCCTTTTGCTAATAGTTGTAAACCGGAAATTTGTGAATGACCAAAGAAGTTTCTGTTGGTAAAAAAAACCCACATAAAAAAAAATAAGAAAATAAAGAGGGCTTCATTTACGAAAACTAGTCCAATCACTAATAAATCGAGCTTAAACTTTTGGTTCAAATTTAAATTCAACTATTTTATGAGTCTAAATTATATCATAGTATCAAAACGGAAAAAAAATTATAAGAGAGAGAGTTGGCAATGATAGTTTAATGAAAAGTTTTAAAAGAGAATTCTACATTAGAAAATAAGAAGAAAATGAATGCATTTATTAATAGTCCCTTAAAACATGTTATTGCTTTAAAATTAAGAATGTTAGTATGCATGACGGTGCTCAATGCGTATGCATTGTGGCGCTTTAGAAGCGCACTTGGCATACAATTATCTTGAATTCTCTATTTTTTAAGACAGTCTCCCTTCACCGCCTTGATCCATCAGGGGGATTATTTAACTAATTATCGTCATTTTTTAATGCCTTTCTTGGCATGCAAAAGAGAACTTTTCCTCTGAAATTCATGACAGAGACTTCACCTTGACATTCAATACAGTGAACGATTTCATCATTTGAATTAAATACCATGCAGCATTTCCCATATGGAAGTCATCCATAGAGTCAATGTTTATCTTCTTGAGCTCATGTTAGAACAACGAGGTATCCGAGGATAGAACTTACAAGTATGTCCAAATACTGCAATGGGATGTAGATGAAATCTAATATATATATATATATAATACTGCAATGGGATTTAGATGAAATCTAATATATATATATATACCGAGTTCTTCTAACATGATGGGGTCTCAAAACTGAAGGTTGCCTGAGTTTAAAACTTTTGAGGGGTTGATTTAGTTGAGAGAGGGAGAACTTAATTATGGAATTTCGACACCTCTGTTATACATTTTATCTGATATTGGAGCTGCCTTTTCTTTTTTTGGGTCTGGTTCTTTGTATTTTTTTTTAATGGTCAAGAGTGTCTACATCAATTTACGCAAATCTCGACTAATCTTTTTGTCAATCCGGTCAAAAAAATTGTGAAAAAATGGAAGCAGTCGATATCATGAGCAAGAAGAAGATGCTCAAAGCTGTCGGCATTATAGAATTGTATTTGTTGTTGTGATCTGTTGCTTGTAACCTTATCCCTTTGATGAAGTGTATTCAATCTTATTATTTGTTCCATAGATGATGGCGGCCACTATAGTTCTGCGTTGAGCTTGCTCAAAAGTGATAATGACTAAATGTTTTTTTTAGAGGAAGTGACGGAAAAATAGGGAGATAAAGCATTAAAGGGTAATATTGGTGGCATGCTGATACCCCATCTCACTGCTTGACATTCCAAAATGAGTCAGACCACTTAGTGTGATGTGCTTAATTACCCAGGTTATGTCGTGCTTTAGGTTTTAGATCTAAACCTGCCCACATATATGCGCCCATGCCCATCCAAGTGTCATCAATTGGAGTGGCAATTTCTGATGTAACACCAAAACACGACTTGAAATCAATATGAAATTAGTGGGTTACCGTTGATCATTTATCGACATAAACTTATGTATGACATGATCTGTTATCACGAATAATAAATGGGTTGAGTTAGTGTTAAACATAAACAATATAAAATTGACACGATTAACACGTTTAAGTACTATTATACGAATAAAATATTAGTTTTTTATTATATTTTTTCCAGTACGGACCTAATTCTTGTACAAACAAAAATTTTTTTACTCATTCTTATTATAATACTTATTAAGTTAATTTTTAGTTTATAGAAAAAATATGAGCATAAATTCAATCAAGTGACAATGAAATTTTAGACATAAACAAAGCATTAATTTTTTTATTCACAGGTTATATGGGTTAAAACAAACACAACATGAAAATAAATAGATTAACACGACACGATTAGGTAAATGGGTTGAGTCAAGATTGACTAGTGCTCGACACGAACTTAAAATGACACAATACGATCTGACACAACACGATTGTCATTCCTAATCAACAATTAGTCAACAGGATGATATGTCATGTCATTCTTCGGTTTTAAATTTCCTCTAATACACTTTCAACGATAAATCAACATCACGAATCCAAATAGAGCCCTCGTTAAGTTTCTCACAATATACAGTAAATGATCTATTAATGACAAAGTTGGAGAAATTTCTGTGCACTCAGTGAGTTCATCCTATAGCAGTATTGCCCCGCTGCCTATAGGATTCGTAAGTCGTGAAAGGACAAAATTGAAAGAAAAAAATTCAATAGATCGATAAAATAAGATAAAATAGGTCTTTAATCTAATAGCACTAGAAAACTTTGTTTTCTTGAGGGTAAGGGTTCAAACCCCCTACCCTCCTCCCCTCTCCCCCCCCCCCCCCAAAAAAAAAAATAGTGAAATGATCTTATTTATACACTAAGGTGTGTATTGTTGTATAAGGAGACGGTATTTCTAGTTTATTAAGATATCTGTCATCATAATAAGCGAAGTATCAAAAAAAATTTGTGGCAGCAACAACCATCACAAATAGTATTTGCGATAAGAAATAAACATTTTATGACTGCATTAGCATCACAAAATTTTCTTTTTTTTTGGTTCAAAACACGTTTTTTGTGCCGGTGGACGCTGTCACCGTAAAACACTTGTTTAAAAAATTCCTAATTCGTGTGGTGAATCTTATGCTCGGTAGCTCTATCTACACAACATGTGGTACTATCTCAGAAACTCACATATTATAATCACTTCTGTAGCCTCTAGCATTTCCAGTTTGTCGTGTATATATATATATATATGTGGTGGTGGTTTTTGATTCTTTTATGAACAAAAGAAAGAAATAGTTATAAGCTATGGTGCTCAGTGTTTCTTAATTTCCTGTAATAGGATGGATTTTCACTATTGTTATTAAAGTAGTAAGGAAATAATTGGAATATGAATGCCCATTTTGTCTCAAGATACAAAACTGTTTGCATACAATATGGTCTTGTACACTGTGTACTTTCTTTTCATTTACAAACAGAAAAAAGTAAACCACTAAAAAATTCTTCCCAATAACCCTCGTGTCTAGCTACCTAATCAAAAGAATATGTCTACAGATAGAAGCAATTTCTTTTCTCTAGCTTTTCCTGTGCACTCTCATCCTTCTTAGCTTGTATGAATGGTGCAGAATGTTTACAGTTTGTGCTTGATCAATCCGTAGACTGTCACCAGAGCCATAATTAGCGAATGATCGGTTTTGGGTTCCACTACTAAAGTCCATACATCATCACCCAAAAGAACTCCAGATGATGACTGCTTTTCTCTCACCTGCAGAAATCCCAAATCACTAGAGAACTGTTAATGCTATATGCTTGTATAAGACTAAAGTTGAACTTGAACCCAATATAAACGAGCAACCACAAAGAAAGTAAGTAATTCTATATTGTAATCAAGACTAACCTCAGCAACAATGGCCCCATGGCCGTCTATGATCTTGAATGCTGCTTTTCCAGCCAATCCGACTATCCGATAGCATCTTGATTTAGCCTTATCACGCCCCAAAATAACCTGACAATATATTTCTTTACTGAAAATCTTGCAATATTTTCTAACTTGAAACCATGGTCTCTCCTTCATTTTCGAATCACTCCATTTGTAGCCATCCCAACCACCAAAAATTTGGAGTTTCTGCCAGATAAAATCGAAACAAACAAACAAAAATAAGTCTTAATGATTTCCAAGCTCACAGATTTTGTTACTTAAGTGATCATATCACTCAATTTGGTTACCTGTTGCCGTATAGAAAAGAGAACTTCGCCTCTGAGATTCATGAGATGAACTTCATGGCAGCATTTTTCGCCATAGTTATCGATTCGATAGACGAGTTCACCGTTGGAATCAAAGACAGTGCAGCCATTTCCATTGAAAACTAGTGATTTCATCCATACAGTGAATGTCTCTCTTTTTGAGGTCAAGTAACTAGATGAACAAGCTGGTGTCTGAGGATAAACCTTAGCCATTGAAACTTTGAAAGCCTGAAACTGAGAAGATGTACAGAAAGTTTAGTTTGCAGATGGAGACCTCTTCTCGTATCCCAAAGGGTTTATGTATAAATAGCCTGAGAGTTCAACTATGTTAAAATATAGCAGGCCAGCAAAAGAAAATATTAATAATTCTCAATGTGATTTACATGAAAGCATTACATAATAAGGACGAAATTAAATAAATAAATATTCAGTACCAAAAATATAATTAATCTTTTATTTTCAGTACCTCAATTATATTGTGGGAGAGTATTTTAATTGGTGGTTGGATGTGTGGTCAAATGAGGTTTGGTCATGGTCAAGGAATTTATATGAATATGTGTGGCTGTTGGTGTAATTAATTCAGGCCTGTCTGTTTGAATACTTTTCTTTTTCCCCCTTTTTTTTTTTCGATTTAGCTGTTGCAGCCCTTTTTTGGTTTTCCCATTTGATCTTTTGACTACTTTTAGTATAGTCCACTCTCTTTGCTGCTGGTTGGAATGACCAAGGAAACTAACATATGTGAGTAAGTAAAAAACAATTGCTTCACATACAAAAACTAAGTCCAAACCCTTTTAATTAGATTTGAGCTTAAACTTTTGACTTGAGTTTAAATTCAATGATATATGAGTTTAAATTCTATTAAGATCGAGGTATTGGAATCCCCAGAAAAAAAAACCCGGAGGATCGAGAGTGTTAGAAAGTAAGTGTGGAAAAGGAACCAAAATTGAGGAGTTTGAGGACACGGGGCTCGTGTTAAGTGTTGTGATTGTATGTAAGAATCGGATGATTATCAATATTTTCAAAACAAAAATAAACTTGGTCATTACACCATGTTATAAAGTTTAAATTGACAAATCATACATATCGACGCAGTTGGAAACTTCCATGGAAATTTCATCCATATCTAGTAATTTTTTTCTTCTTTTTGTTTCTAGAGGTCATGCAAGTTAGAAGATAAAACTTAGCTATATATGTTGAAAGCTTGGAGAGGACACACCAAGGAACATTATTGCTGTGAAAGTTCGAGTATGTTAAATTATTGTAATGTGATTTACTTGAAATCCATATAGAAACAGAAGTATAACTGCTTAGATAAAGATGGATTCATCTGCCTCTCTGATTC